GAAGGGGCTGGAGGAAAGAGGCCGCTGGGCGACGCACTCACAAGCGCACTTCAAAGGGCGGGCGCCGTGGCGCCGCCCGCGCCGCGCTTGTTTGCGTTTGAAAGCGCGCGCGTCGGCCGACCGACAGCGGCCCACTGACGGGGATTGCTTCAGACGCATTCTCTCGGACGGGCAGAAGAGGGAAATGTTTTCAACAAATCTGGGATATAATTGCAAATGGAAACGTGGGTTAGCTTTGAAATCGGTATATTTTCATCAGCCGTTTCAATCTGTATTTGGGACTAAAAACATTCATATTGAGAAACAAAATCCTATTGAGATCAAGCATGTCGCATTGAAAATTAACAAACATAAATAAATTATATAATGCAGAGATTTTAAACGATGTATTACTGTAGCAAAATATTACAAAACAAAAGGAAATTAGGTACTTTTCCTACTACTTCTCCTAAGACTTCGACTTTCCTTCTTTTTCTTCTTCGTCTCATTCTTCTTCTTCTTCTTCTTCTTATTATTATTATTATTATTCGTTTTCTTGCTATTCGTCTCACTCTTCCATTTCTTATTCTCCTTGTTTTCAATTGATTTGATTGTTCTCAATTTGAATGTTTAATCCAAATCCAAACATAACTGTTTTCAATTTTATTGCGATAAGACCTAATCTGCATGTGATTGGTCTCAATTTGAGATTGATGAGGTATATTCTCATATTTGTTTTCTTTTATAGTCGAATAAACTGTCAGAATCTACTGGGCACTTTGCGATCCTTATTTCGAACACCACCCGTTTGTACTCTGCACAGTCCGTGCCGAGCTGAAATTATGCAGGAAATGAACAACTCTAAAATAACTGAGTTTTACCATTAGACTAAATGAAACAGATGACAAATTTCTTGCCGTGTGCAGTAAATATAATTATCTCCCCCTTTGGAGTTATTTGAGAAACCAAATATTTTTGTTCATTTCATAATTTGTTTTTATTAGTTTAGCATAAAGATAGCCACGAGAGCCACATCCGGCCGATACAAATGAGTGCTTCTCCACATCACTTTCTAAACGACCTTCCATTGCATTGTTTCCTTTCGTTATGAAATCTTTTAAATTATGTGCAAAGCTGTTTGGTCCGTTGTTATTGTTAGCGCATGTATGTGTGTAGGATGTGAATGGCATAGTGAAGGGCAATAGAATCAAACTTGCGAAGATTACTCAATGGAAAATGCAAAACAGCTATGACCTCAAAAGAACGAGTTGGAAATAAAAGGAAACCAGTCAGTGCTGAATGGAAATTACCCTTTCCATGTAGTGTACCTCTTATTTTCTCATTTGTTTTCTTGAAAGCCGGTTCCGTTCGTCACTGAATTAAGCGTATTAAGTGCTTCTTGTTCTTGAAACGTTGTGGTGTTGTTTCATTTACATAATTTCTAAACTTGATCGACAAAGTCACCGATCAGCTTTCATTTGCCAGCTCTTTCCTGTAATACGCAAACTGTTTCGCTTGCAATTTTTCTTTCCCAAACATAGTTAAAACGTGATTATTGAGTGCAGTTAACTCCACAACACAGTAACGTATGATATCGTTACTGACCAGCAAACACGGCGGCTCCAGTCCACACACGACCTCGTCCACCGTCGTCTGTTATGGTTCCGCAACGCAGAACTAGCTTGGGCGAGCGCCTCCCATACGCGCGGTGGCGGGGGCGTCGTCGGCACAGGGACACCTGAGGCCGCCGCCCACGAGCGGGGCGCAGCGCAGGAGCCGTGGGTGACGCGCGACGCTGCACGTGCGTCGCCGCCGCCACTGCTCCCCTCCCCCCTCCCCCCTCCCACAGGGGCGGCACCCGGCGCACATTTCTTCATTTATCTGCCCTCTCATTGTCAAATCCTAGACACCACGCCTCGACTGCACCCTATTTTATTTTATTTTATTTATTTACATCAAAAACATCTAAAAACTGTGGGTGACGTGCTATGGAGAGAAGTTAATTTGAAGTTACATTTATGTCCAGAAGCAAAACAATGTTTCTCAAATGCTTTTTTACTACTAGACATGGCTGTTAAGGCACTAAAAACTTCCATTTTAGGCCCCTAAAAAGGCACAACAATGTTTTTTAAAAAGCACCGAAAAAGGCAATAAAAACTTGAAATTGTAGAAAAAAAACACTAATATAATTCACCGCACTTGCACCTAAAACTATCGAATATCGAAAACACATGAGAGAATGTTCATGAGTCGTTAGTGATTGAGTGAGTGACTTTAGCATCTTCACACGACGGAGTTCAGTTACTACACGGAAGAGGCCTTGGTGAAGTACGTCGCGTGGTGCACAACTCAAACATTTGCGAGTAGAATGTAGACGCTCCTCAAACCCGGCAGAGTTGTAGGTCCTAATGATCGGCCTACTCTGCGCACTTCCCAGAAGAACATCTGACCTGTAAATATATCAATGTCAGAATGGGGATCATCGCCTTGCCCTCGACACGAGTGCTTTGATTACGTCGCGAATAGGGTCTCATCGCTCACCTATGCGCCCACCACTCAACCAAGTGCTCAGAGCCCGGCGCGTGTTGTTGTTGTTGTTGTTGTTGTTCTTTTCGTCTTTTTTTCTTGTTTGGTTTTTATTATTTTTTTTTATTTCTGCAAAGAAATGTGATGTGAAGCCACAATGCAACATTTTCGGCTCCAAAAATTCAATGTAACGTGCAGTCCAAATGACAGCTTCAATCTAGACAAAAAAAATGGAGATTTGTTGTCAGTAGTCAATTAATGTGATTAATAGAAATGACAGTAATTTAAAACGTGTTTTGGAAACCAAGATTAGAAAGAAATATACATAAATTTTAAGAAAAAAAGTATTTTAAAAAAATGTCTAAAAGGGCATTAACGCCATAAAAGACCAAGAGGCAAATATAAAAGTTCGTCAGAATATTTAACTTTCCATTATTCATATACGTGCATTAATTGCCTTTAAATATATTCATTAGAATAAAATAGGCATTTTCCTAAACATCCTATGCTTTATTATAACCACAATGTTTTAATGGCATTTACAGCTCTTTTGGATCTAGGTCGGTAAGATGTTGTAAGTCCTCTCTCACTTCACACTCACGCCTTTCTTTCTTACAGCCTACGTCGCCCTTGAGTAGTGTAATGTTGTTCTTCCTGGTCTCGGAGCAATCTATTCCAATGCTTCCTTTCCGATGTTTGATCACATTTATCTCCATTGAAAACGTTTTTCTTGTTTTTTAAACATGTCAATTCAATTACACACTTTTTGCCAATCAACACATGGGAGGAAATGTCATGTATGGAAGATAAACAGGTGATTTTTGTCTGTAATTGGTGAGCGAGTATTTGGACACTGACGTTTCACAAGTATTCGTTCGGATGACAAGTCATTTTATGTCCTGGCGGAATAGTATGGTATGGCGAGTTGCCTACCAATCAGGGGCAAATATCTTGTGTTTATTTTTAATTTACGGGATTCCTCACCTCTTGTTTTTTTTTTTTGGCAAAAAGTTATCATCTTCGACCATCTTTGCCTTACCTTAAAGTTTCTAACAGTTTTCTGAGACACTTTTCTTCCAGATCCGTAATATTTTCCTCGCAAACTAAAATGTTAGCCTCACAGAGTAATCTTTCCTACAGACTAATAAGTTAGCTCGCAGGTACCGGAAACATGCCCATCTGTAACAAATGAATGTCGTTCAGAAAATATAGTCGTTTTAAACCCATAGAATGGTTTATATTCGTTTCGTATTTTTTAAGGAAACTATTGAATGTAAGGAAGAATAGAAAATCCAATGTTATTTATTTCAGAAACTTCAAAAAACCATTCCCAATATTTTTGTTTTATCCCCACCTCACCCGCAACATGTCTCTGTTTTTCGGTTCAAGTTTCATTTGTTCGTGACGTATCGCATACGGCAAATCTCCAGAGGCTAGTTCACTAGAATATGTATTGTAGAAACTCCTTACTTCGACACCAAAAAAGAAACTTTTAGTGAGCAAGTTATCTTCATTTCTAATTATTTTGTAATATCGATTTCCGTGTCAGTTCCAAATTTATTTTTGCTTCCTATGATAATCTACAAGTTGCATTTATAAATCTCTAATATTAACATTTTGTTGCCAAACTTGTGGGGTATAAAGTCAAGTAGTTTTCTTCAATTCGTCAGAACAAGCCTAACGTTTTACTTCATTACGCTAAACTTTTACGGAAAAATTATAACTTACAATTATAAAAATTAAGAGTAACTAATTTGGAAGGTGGCACGTACTTTTTATTTGCTTTATTCCTGCCATTATTACAATAGATTATGATTAACTATGTAACATTTTCAAATCTCTAAATTAAATATTTTTTTTTCTTTCAGGTGAGTACGCTGTAACTACCTGCGTGGTGAAGGTGGTAAGTTTCCTCTCTGTCGGAGTTTCGATGTCGCTCTCTGGCCAATGGATTAATTCATCGTACGATTTTCAATTGACTTTTGGTGTTTAGTTGGTAATTGATTTCTCTACTTTGTATCATAGTTTTATATTGTTACAAAGAAAAAAAATCGTGTATTGCTCTACCTTCTAGGATGTGTGAATCGATTGAATCTTAGCAGCTGAAGATTTTTGAGAATACTGTCTACGTAGTATTGTGAATTTTGAGTAAGATGACACTTATTGTGTACACACGTTTATCATTGTGTATCAACTTTAAATTTATTGTGGGAAAACTGTTACTGGCGTAGTATTTAATTTGATAAATGGTTATAATGTTGACACGAAACATTTATTTAAAATAATTTCATTCGCATTTGTATGTGAAACATTTTGCAGAGATATGGACATTTTAATTGATTTCAAACGTTTTTTGTAATTGATAGTAGATAGAGTCATTAATAGATGTTCAGATATGTGTTTTATTACTATATTGTTATCATCCGTAGGATTTAAAAAATATCGTCTTCATAAACGTAAAATGTAGGTGATATATTGCGTTATTTTCTTCAATTGAAACCAATTCTCAACAAATTTTGATCGTGACGAATCGAAAATCAGGTGATTCTGCGAACTCTGCCTCTTCGCAGATGATTCACTCCATTACCAAAAACGCAAGTGGCAGAACACGACACAAAACGCACGCCTCTCCACGCGCCGGGCGTGCGCGGCGCCGCGCCAGCACCTGCGCTGGGCCGGGCCGCGGCGTGGAGCGAAGCGGCGCCGGCACGCCCGCCCGCCCGCGCGCCGCCCGCCCGCCCGACGGCCCGCCCGCCGCCGTCGCCTCGCCGCCGCCAGCCGGCGCCGCGCGCGCGCGCTCCGCCGCGCTGCCTCCGCCGCCGCTGCAGTAGCGGCGCAGACGCGTGCGTCGGCGCTGTCGTGCGCGCGTGTCTAAACGCTTCACGCGTTCGGCGCGCGCACGTGCGCCGTCCGCACGGGCTTGGGTGTCGGCTGCGCGGCCGGCTCGGCTGGTCTCTCCGCCGCGTGTCTCGCCCTGTCACGCATGCCTGTCGGCGGCGGCCTCTCGTTTCAAAGGTGCGGCACGCCCCTTCCCCCCCCATCGCATCGAAGTGCTTTGCGCGCGCGCTTGTCTCTCCGCGCGCGCTGTGTGATGTTGCGCTCCGCGCCAGATGGAAGCCGTTTACGTGTCCGAGTGTTTTCATTGGTGTCTTAATAGTCGCGTGTGTTTTTTGTCTTGTTCGAGTTCGCTCGGAATGGTTCCTCGATGTGCTTCGTTTCGTCGGGCCGGAGGTTGTGCATAAATTCTTCGGGAGGACGTTCGCGCGTCGAATAATTTGTGCGGCCCGTAAACTGGGGGGAAAGAATGTGACGTAAATGATGGGAAATGCTTTTAGGAGGTTTAAAAGCTAATCGTCGATTACTCCGGCTCTGCTCGGGCTTCTGTGGCGTGTGTTGCGCATGCATCACCTGGAAGATGTGAAGATGCTACGTCGCTGCTCGACAGAATGGTTGCTGATTCAGTGTGGCTAGTTTATGAGTATTTCCGAGTCCTGTTAATATTTTATTTGAAACGAGCCCTCTGTGCGTGTATTCGCACTTTTCGGAATTCTGTTTTTAATAAGGCATGCCATCCTAGAATGCAATATCAGTCTCCCGGTATTGACAAAATTATTGGGTATCGTACTCCATTAGTTTAACATTTTTACCGAAATTAAAGAACATATTTCTTACGCATCCGTTTCTACAATTTTATTGAAAACTCATCGTATTGTATACTTTTGATGAATGTCTCGTTTCAATAGTAAGAAGAGAAAGTAAGGTAACGTAAAAAATCTAAAAGAGGAAGATGTGATGTCCTTCTGGCTCAATTTGTTTTATATCAAGGTGACCCAGTTATTAAATAGTTTGTTAATACTATAGTTTTGAATCAACTTAGAAAAGTTTTTTCCTATTTATAATGTCATACACAAATTGCAACTAACAATTGTGACTAATCATTGCTGTGTTCATTATTTGTCGTGTAGTCTTCATGAACATTTTTAATTGTAGTGACATACATTTTTTCAGAAATCTAATTTAACATTTCTCAAACGTAATAAATCGTACTTTTCTCATGACGAACTGAGAATTTCAAAAAATGTAGTAAATAAACGTTTATTGAAAACGATGTTCTCACAAAATACTTGATGAGGAATCCAATAATTCATTAAAATTTTATCATTATATCAAATTGATAAATTCACTTTCAAGATTCATTAATCAAAGGCACTTGGTTCGCATTCCGGCGCGCGAGTATTAATGACTTAAAGGAGATTTAATACGCGAGCGGGGGAGTGGGTCGGCGCAGGTGAATGTGCTGCGCTGGAAACAGCTGCCAAACGCCGCGAAGGCACCTGCCGGCGTCAGCTCGTTAATGGCGCCGCGAGTGGGTGCTCCGGTAACGAATGCACGGCCGCCTGAAGCCCGGGACAAATAACTGCGTTGTTTTGACTGCGGCGGCGTTGGCGGTGGCGGTTGCGCGAAGGAAGAGGGTGAGGGAGGGGGGGGGGCGGCGGCGCATGCGTTTTACGAGCGGAGGCTGCAGGAGCAGGCCATGCGCCTCGTTGCACTCGACTTCCTCGCGACCCAAGTGCCTCCGGCGGCTTGCGGCCAACGCCGCGGCCACGTGGTGCGTGTCGGTGAGCGTTAGACGCGCTCAGATAGTCTGTACTGTTTGCGTCCCCCTCTCTTTCTGCTGGGTTGGTTCAGTCGAACCTGGCGCTGTTTGGGACCCTTGAACTTCTGTCGTTAACTCTTCTTTTGCTTTCCAAATTCTCGTGACGGAAGTACATTCTGTCTTTCTCCCTCCGTCTCTCTCTCTCTCTCTCTCCTTTATTTCTTCGTTCTTATAGGTTTGAATCTGACAGTAAGAACATGTTAAAATACACTTTACCAGAAATATGAATGCAAAGTTCTGATACATCTGGTGGATAAATAGATAATAAGTTCCATGGGCAGAATGGGGCAGGTTATTATCAAAATAGAATATCTAAATTCTGAGTTTGTTAATTCAATTTTTATAACTGCTAAATTTACTTAATTAGTCGTATCGTGACCACTCCATTTCTCACTTACTATCGACCTCATCGAAAACTACGGATTTTATAACTATTCTTCTACCCAATAGTTTTTAATTGTGTTTGTTTCATTATATTTCCGTTCATTATATTATTTGATTCCTTTTTTTCTTCACTCCAATCCATGCCTTTCATTTAATTGTCAATTCTCAATCTCAGTTTATTGAACATTTGATTCCTGAAGAACATGATAATTATTAATATAGTACTGTATGAATTACGAGTCATTATATTGTTAACTATGTTGTTTCCGAAAACATTTTACCACAACTATATTGTAATTAAACCGACATTTCGCTGAAGTGTCAATTGTAATTATTTCTTCAATTGAAAAAAATGAATAAAGTTTATGAAGAAGCCACGATCTAAAATGAGACAACTTCGAGATTGTTGAAGCAGGAGGTGAAACTTCTGGAAAGTAGTTGTCTAAAGAAGTGTCGCTCCCCTTGGATATGCGGAATAATATTTTGACGTTTCTGTAAATCTTCCAGCGACGTTTTGTGTGCTATAAGCTTCATACTTCTGTTTTACCTTCCCAATGTATGAGGTTCCGAAGATATTTCCCCACGTATAGTTCGAATCACCAAAAAATCCAAAATCATCACACTCAAGTATTATAATATAGTTTTAAAGAAATGTCGCAAATAACATAATAGTATAACGAAGTCTTTTTTAAGAAATACCAGAAAATGTGAGAGATTTTGTAAGTGCAATGGGTTTTTTTTTTTTTAATACAGCGCTTCCAGCACTCTCCAGCGTTTTGGCTCAATTTCACTTCCTTCCTTTGGATAGCAATTTTCCCCCCTTTTCTTTCTTTGATATCTCTATCCTTCTTCACGTATTTTTGACTGAATATTATCAGCATTATTCCGTTCTCATCTTCTTGTAGATGTGTCCCTCCTTTCCTTTCCGCCCTATTTCTTCGTGTTCCCCAAATGCATGTTTCTCTCATTAGCTCTTCAGCCCCTTAATTTTCCCCCTTAGCGGCGCGCCCGCCATCGCATCCATCGGCGCCTTCCGCCGCGTCCGTATTTCCGTCGGCGGTGCGTCTCGCCGCCCGCCCTCGTGGCCCTGTCGTGAGGCGGCGGCGGCCGCCGCGCGCGTTTTCCGGCGCTTCGCCTGCCCTGGAACCCGCGACCGCGTAAATCTCAACGCGCGCGGCCGCACAGCTGGGAGCGGCGGAGGCGGCGGCGGAGTTGGCGGCGGTCACCGCCCGCTTTGTGCCTCCCTGTGACAAACGCGCGCGTCGCGCAGCTGTATTTCGGGACGACTCATTCGTCGGCGGGGACGGCGGCGCAGGAGATGCGCTGACGCGCTGTCCCCCTCGCCCGCCCCGCTCGCTCGTCGTGCGCTCTGTACCTAACCTTAGCACCTGGCCCGCCCGCGGCCCGCCGTCCGCCGGCCCGCCCGTCCCGCCCGGCCCGCTCCCTCCGCCCGCCCGTCCCGCCCGTCCTCCGTCCCTGCTCGCCCGTCCCTCTCGCCTCCGCCCGCCCCCGTCCCTCCGCCGTCCCTCCGCCCGTCCCCTCCCCGTCTCCTCCCGCACCGCCCGGCCGCCCGCCCGTCCCTCTTCCTGCCTGCCCGTCCTCTCCGCCTGCCTACCTCCCGCCCGCCTGCCCTACCTCCGCCCGCCTGCCCTACCTCCGCCCGCCCGTTCCTCCGCCCGCCCTTCCCGTCCTCCACCACGCCTTCCCGTCCTCCGCCCCGCCTTTCCCGTCCTCCGCCAGCCTTCCGTCCTTCCGCCTGCTTACCCGTCCCTGCGCACGCCCGCCCACCTGCCCGTTCGCCGTCCACCCCGCTCGTCCACCTACCCGTCCGCCCGCCCACTCCGTCGACCGTCCATTCCGCCTACACGTCCTCCACCTCTCAACTGGCCGTCGCCCGTCCATCCGCTCGTCCACCTACCCGACCGCCCGCCCACTCGTCGTCCGTCCGTCTGTCCGTCTACCCGTCCTCCACCCACCTGGCCGTCGTTCGCCCGCAAGCTTGTCGCCGTTCGTCCGTCCCTTCCCACCCGTCTGGCCACCTTCTCCACTCCACACTCGCTCACTCACTCACACTGCTTTGGTGGCGGTGTATTTCCGCCGTCGCTCTCGGTCTTGTGACCGGTGTTACTCGCACGGGCCCTGCCCTGAGATGGCGCTTCTGACTTGCGTCGATCCCCAAGGCCACCTTTCGGCTCTCACGCACTCTAGACTCGCTTTCCTTCGCGTTCATCTGCGTCGCTTTCTTTTTACCCTGTCGCCAAGCAACTGTACACACGTCGAGTTAAAATTACTTAGTATGCAGCGCCAGAAGTTCTCACCACGTAACATAGCAAGGTCGCGTGTGTATTTTTCTTGCTGTCTCTTGGAGTTGTCGTTTGCGAAATGTGTTCTCTCTCATCAAATGTTTTTACTTTTTCGTGTACCTAGTTCTAGAATCTTGTGAAATGTCTCTCACGAGAATTTGACACAAATTCACCTGATCTGATCAGAAGAAGATAGGGAGGGAGTACAGTATGTATACATACATTCTTTTTCCTGTCTTATAGAGGATTGTGGTTATTAAATACTTGGGCATCTCAGAGTACTTCAGCTAGACTTCTATATAAATGAAATTGGTGGTCTATCTGCGATTTTAAAGTAATTGCCTTTTTTTAAATCTCATATGCTTAATTAGATGGTATAAAAACAAATAATTCGTTTTTATGGTTTTTGTCTTTATATGGCCGGAGCGGCTTAACCGATTTCGATGAGATTTTCACTGAAATATAGTGTTAACGAAGGTTTTTCTTCAAATTATTAATTTCTCTTTTATGAAAAGATTTTTATTTGTTTGTTTTGTCATATAATCTACAGATTTATTCATATCTTAATGAAATGCTGTACATGTCTATTTCAAAACAACGGAAATAATAACTGTTAGTATGAGATTTCGTAAAAATATCCCTTTTCCCCTTTTTTTCTATGCCTTAGGTCAAAATTCGAGGAGTATTATTGCAGATTTTGGAGAGTGTAATGAAAACAATGAGGAAATCCCTGAAAGAATATTAAATGTTTTGTAAATCTCATAACATTTTCTAAATGCTTTATATTTCATTCCAGTAGCGACATTACGCTTTTTGTAGCTCAAAATGATTAATGAATGTTTGTCCTCAGCATACAACAATGTATGCGTTTGCAACTGAACGAAGCAACGATGGTGACAGCAATGGTGATCGTAGCATGGCAGAGTGGCCAGGGAGGATGAGACTGGGAGGATCGGGTGTGCAGGGCGGGGATGGTGGGAAGGGGTACGGTGAATTGGGATGTGTGGCACTGGGCAAGCGTAGTAGTTCTCTGAAAAAAAATATTTAGTATTTCAGACTAGTATTTTCGTTTGTGAATTTTTTTATCTAGTTAGTTCAATTGACAACTGTTATGCGACCAAATGAGTTGGTGAAGGGGCTTGTGTGTGGGGACCAGCTGCACTAAGGGTCGTAGCTCTATACGCGCGATGGCTGGTCATGCAAGCTGTAGAAAACAATGAAACACATGATGTGCGGCGGTGGGCAAGGCAGGCTAGGGTGGGGATACACTATAGTTAGAATAAATTCATTTCGCTCCGAAATAGACGAATGTGACAAATACACGAGCAACTACTTCAGTCAGTACGTATTTTAATATATTTATCAATCCTGTTAACCAAATTGGGACTTTCGAAATTATTAAAAAATTGAGTTGGTGGATTTTTAATACGAATAATACGTGATTCAATTTACACATTGTTATTAAGCAATATTTGCTATATCAATTTTGAAAAAACGAATAATTCTGAAAATAACGCAATGAAGTGTTCTCAAAATAATGTTTTTAGACAGCCACTGGAAGAAGCTGTTTCTGATCAGGCCTTGCACAACGTGCACAAGTTCAATTTTTGCACTAGTGCTAAAAGTGAGACGATAGTCCAATGATGAGATATAATGTGAATGCAACTTTTTCTGACCGTATCAGCTACTACTGATCTTAATGTATCGTAGTTCCCATTTATTGATTTGTATACTTAAAATTAAAGGAAAACCAGTACCTCTGTCTAAAAAAAAATAGTTTTTGACACACGTGGGAAAAGGGAGTTTATTTTGCTCATAAAATTATAGGATTGCCACATGGGGCCTATCGGCTACCTTTCGCACTTGCAAAATAAAATGTCAGTTTTACCACTCGTATTATAAATAAGCATTTACAATGTTGTATATAATTTGTCTATTCATAGGGAAACCTTCATTAATAATTGTGGGAAGCGTTGCCCTCGTATTTAAAGTTGCACAAGCTTTCAGACTTTGTTGCTATGTCTAATAATTTTGCAAACAACGAATGTATTTGTCGCCCACATGAATTTTATTTAACATTACGTTATTCATATTTATAGATTTGCTTCGATAAACATCGCTATTTTATGCAATGTTAAGTTTTTGAAAATATGATTGTCTTTTAATTACCTTACAGAGCGAATTCTTTGACTTGTAGTGATACGTATGATGAGTAAATCGAAAGAGCATAAATGTTGATAAACTACTAACATTTATTTTCCTGACGCTTGTGAATATCCTTTTCATTGAAATTAACTTGTAATGTACCTAAAAAATCTAGCAAAATCGTATGTGAGATATGTGCCCTTTATTTTCCATTTTTTCCCGTCGCCTGGTATTTATTTATCTTTCTTTTCTTTTTCACTAAACAATTGTTTTTTTCTTTTTTCTGCATTGTTCTTCCTTTGACTTTTTTATTCCGCACTCTTCTCAATTTTCTTCTCTGATGCTATTTTCCGCCTGAATATAAGCACATTCCTGCGAACTGGCGTGCGCAGCTGTGATTCAACAAAGAATTCCGCCAAGACACACTCACTCCTCTGTGCAAGAGTGAAATGTTACTTTCGCTCGCTGCTTTTACGTAATATATCGAAACTTTCAAGAACGACGGGTCGCATTAGGGTGCGCGGGCCTTAATTACCTTGGCTACGGCACCGACGCTGCTAAATTAATGGAATTCTCAGCGTGACCCCGAAAGCGAAATTTGGCAACTCGGACCCGTACCCGCTCACGAAATATCCGAAATTTATGAGGACTCTTATGTTTATTAATATTTTAGGGGTACGAGACGCCGGTCTGACGTTTTTGACGGCAAACATTCGTTATCCTTTCAGCACAGACGTGCCGTCTGTGTAATACGAATTACATTGTGATGCAAACAGGTGTTATCCTTCGCAAAGGAGTTTGATTAAGTTTTGTGGAAAATAGGAGCAATTTGTTCGAGTTCGGGGTGTTGGGAGATGAACTGCCGAGAAAACACGGGATGAAATCGACTGTGACTTATTAGCGGAGGCTGGTCTGACGGATTTGGATTGGCTGGTCTGCGGATTTGACCACACAGAGAGGGATATGAGTGCGCAATGCTACTTCTTACTCAAGCGTGGTTAAACGACGAATACATTTTTTTATCTAGGACACTGAACATATACAAAATAGGCACGAAATTAAGAGATTCATGAAAATATAATTGTGTAATTAAAAAAATTGAATTGTACAATTTTAATTAAAGAAATATTCACTGACGTGACATCTGCTATTTAATTCTATAAAATCAACTTCTACGGAAAACAACAGTTAATCTGTAATTTTTAAACTATTGGCTTCTCGATGAAATAAGTAGATTACTTGTATTTTTTCAAATTCAGAATCGTAAATGATTTCGAAATAAAATAGCAAAAGTAGAAGGAATTTTAAAATTTTAATTTCCGAATCTTCCCTTGTATTCTTGCATTTCATCTTGTTTCGTGACTTCGGTCCGAATGTTCTTAATACTTACGATAAAAATCCAGTTTTCTAACTCTGTTCTCAAATTCTTAAAAAAAATAGCATACAGTTGAAATTATTACTTCTTCGGTGTATTCTAAAAGTTCTTACTAAATTGACAGTAGCATTACTGAAAAATAATTTTAATGTACTTTTCGTACAGTATTTACATTTTAATTATTATGAACTCGCTCTCAATAGCGCCGATCCCGTAGAACCGGAAAAAGGCAAGGATAAAAAAAAATACACGTTTTAATTATGTTCGATGAAACGACCACACTGCTCCCAATACATGCTGCTGTTCCGCGCTTAGAATATTTTATTTTTTATTTATTTTTATTTAAGGTCGCATCAACTACTTGATCATTAGCGACCAGTACATGGTATGGTAACTATGAGGATGACACGATGATGATAGGGTTGTGAAAGGACGAACACAATACAACCATGCCAGAGGCGGGACTCGAACCCGCGGTCCAAGATCCAAGATCACTACTCGGCGCTACTGCCTTAGCGACCTCGGCCATCGGGACCGGCGGAGCGCTTAGAATTGTTCTCCGTGCAACAGGCGGCTATGGACGGCGCGCGTTGACGGCCCGGGACTGCACGAACGTCAGAGCGTCCCGCGCCCGGGGCCCAGAGATCTGCGACGTGTCATCCGAACGCCCTCCCCCCGCCCCCACTTCGCCGGGGCGGAGCGGGGGGCTTTGCACGCGAGGGCGCTGATCTTACATCCGCCCGTGCGCACGCGCCCCTGCGAAATTCACGCTCCCGCCTTGTGAACAGCGAGCGGCGGGCCGCGACCAATAGCAGCATCACTGGCGTATTCAGAGGGGACATGCCCCCCCCCCCGCCACAAAAAAGGCCTAGAGTTTTCGTCTACCTTCCTTTATGTGGCAAAATTTATTTAGTTATTTATGTTCGAATTTTGTAATTATTAAAACAATTGTGTTGTTTAGAATTATATCTACAGGATGTAAAATATACAAAATATAAGAACATATGTGTTTATTATTTAACTAAATCTACTATGCCCCCTCCCTAGAATGATGGGCTGGGTTCACCCGTGGGCAGCATTGCGTGTGGTCTCTGCTCAGGCTCCTTCTGCCAGAATGTAACTCACGCATACAACAGAATGTGGTTGATGGGATTGAATGCGATTGGTTCGCTAAGTGATCTCAGGAATAGGCGACGTAAAATACGAATATGCTCGTTTGAAATAATATGAAATGTTGGTATGAATGATGTTACAAACCGTATTTTTTTCGTATTAGACAAGATTCAGCACTATGCAATGTAATACTCAAGAATATATGTTTGGTAAGATCTCGATTTACTTTCATATTACACTGCAGATTTCAGCATTATTCGCGTTCCACCTTGAGCAAGTTTAAGTCTACTACCTAAAACGTTTCTATTATGAATTAAGAGAGTGACACCAAGTTTTGAAGCATCTCCCATAAAAAGTATTACATGACTATTAAATTCAAAAAAATCGTGATACACTTGGAAGCGCTTAGCTAGATTTCGACAGGGAACTAAACTTGGAAAGTGAACTTCCTACATCTATTTAGCCAGTATCACCTTAAGTTTCTATACTGCGATTTAGGCAATTCTGCCCCTGGCAGATATCAGCTGAAGTCGTAGGCTTCCGCGGCCAGAGTCATGTGCATGATCTTGGCTGTGTGAGTGACGCCGCGAAGGCTGTGTTGCCGACATTTCGACCGTCATATCGTGGTCTTCCTCGCATAACAGTCCTGAGGAAGACCACGACAAGATGGCCCAAACGGCGGCAACACAGCCTTCGACGCGGCGTCACCCGGACAGACAAGATCATGCACAGGTATCAGCTGTTAACGGATTCATTCAATCGGAAGTCTGATCGTCACCATAATTACGTCTCTATGGTGACGTTCAAGCTCCCGATTGGATAAAGCTGCCAACAGCTGATAGTTGCCAGGTGCAGAGTTGCTATCATCGCAGTATAGGTGGGGTTGATCCAGCGCTCGTGTAGTTTTCTCCCTCCTACACCGCGATACCCAACTGTACCGCGTTCTCATCGAGTCGGCACG